TGCAGCATTTAGAGCAGATGTGCTGTTTCAAGAGTGCACCTAACTACCCACACCGCTGCATTCTATACCAGCTAAAACTTCTGGGTAATATTCAAGGGCAGACCTATGTAGAACGCATTACAATAGTCCAATTTGGAGGTGAGTAGGGCATGACTGACTGTAAGCAGGGTTTATTCATTGTATTTATGGCTATTAGAAAATGTTAGAGTACTTAAAATTCTAACCAGTGACCTCAATAATTTCACTGTGTTTTCAACATTAAGCAGCATGCAAGATTAATAAATTATTGCTATTATACAAAAACTTAAGTTACTAATGAATATAAATGAGAAAATTATTTTATGAACATATTTGACCTCTGTAAAATAAGTGATAGTCATCAGGAATTCTGTTTTAGGAGGAGGAGAGAGAAGGTAGAGCTACCAAGACTGAGAGCTTTGCACTGGGAAGTAATAATACAGTGCTTAGGATGAATAACTATAGGGTAGTTGTATAGTTGCTTGGATCATATCCAATTATGTTCTATTTCTTTTGCGCTATAATACTTTTATAAAATATGCATTCCGCTGTATTTTTCAGTGCAAGGAATCATGGACCTCATTGCTTCCACAAGTGAAAAAATGCTGTTCTTTCTTTGCCCAGTTAGCAGCAAAAAAATAAAAATAAAATGAAGCAAATAATAGTTGTGGCAATGTTATCAGCTCTCTACCCAAATGAAAATTGATGGGGTGAGGGAAAAGAAATATAAATCCATAGACTTTGTCTGAAAGACTACCCTAAGATGATGAGGCTTTAATTTTCCTGATCTTTAATTTTGGACATATATTTTGTTTTCAATTTATTTATGAAATGCAAATAATTATGTAAAAAAATCTGCAGCACAATTCAATAGCTACTGTATGATCCTTGGTAGGGGGTTAGTCTATTTTTAGCCATGGGTTTATTGTATTTCCTACATTAAAGGTTGCAAGGCACATTTATTGATTGAAATATATTTTGACCATTATTCACATAACATATTAATTCCAGATTATTATTTTTTTGAGAAATTATTACTATTCTTTGAGTACAGGGTCAGATACTGGTATTAATCTGTAGTTGTTTCTTACAAATCATTTTTAAACTATTTAAGCTTTTGCATGAGAAATCTGAATTGCCTAGAATGATATAATGACAATATATTCAATAAAATCATGTCTTCATTTCACAGCTTGGTCTAGAACCATTAACCAATTCTGAAGTTCCTGAAATACTATTAATATTAGAATACATTTTGGGTGATTTTAAGTATAAAGTATTTTTTTACAAATAGTTGAAGAGTAACATTAATCTGTTATCGTATTTGCAAAACCCTGAGATAAGTGTCAGATCTGTGTATCTGCCATTCTTCACTGGAAGAAGGGCTGGGGGGGATTGGTACAAGTAATCCTTTTTGATGTAACCTGAATATCTTAAGTCTTGCATTGAATCTGTATAACTTGCACATGATATACAACTGGGGACTAGAGCCAGATGTCTGGAAATTCCAGCTCTGAAATAAACTTCCTGGGAAACTTTTCTCAGATATGTTCCCAGAAAAAAAAGGCAGGGGATTAACATGTTGCCACTTTATTTGACTAAATCCACATCAAAATAAGGGAAGGGATTCTAATTCCCTTTATCTATTACTGTATGTGTAGAAACATCTTAGATTCTGCTTTGGCTAGTACCTCAATAACTTCCTTTCAATAAAGAATTCTTTTTGAAGCACCTAGCTTTCAGAAGTTCATTCTTATTGGTTGAAGGGGAAAAGTCCGGTGCCTACATAAAGCAGAATCTGCAATAGAGGTCAACCCGGAGAGGAATTTTTTTTTCTTTGAAAAGAACTTCACTCTACAGGGGACCCTGCAAAAAATGTCTGAATATAGCAAGGAGCAAGGGGAAGCCAAATGCTGGGGAGAAACTTCGACAACTACCCAGCCAGACCCTGACTTTGTGTACCCCATCAAAGACATTGAAGCCAAGGATAGTCCAACCTCAGCAAAGAAACTAATCCCACTATTACCATCCTTGAGCAAACTAGATCAATACCTTCTAATTATTTAACATGAGCAATCATAAATACTTACAATACCTCCACATGTAACTTTTGTTTTTAATCAAAATAGGATAAAATCAGTGGTGGGATTCAAAAAATTTTACTACCGGTTCTGTGGGCGTGGCTTGGTGGGCATGGCTGGGGAAGGATACTGTAAAATCTCCAGTCAGAAGTAGTATTTGCCGGTTCTCTGAACTACTGAAAATTTCCGCTACCAGTTCTCCAGAACTGGTCAGAACCTGCTGAATACCACCTCTGGATAAAATGTACAAATCAGATATTCCAGAGGCAAGACAAGTTCACCAAGTTTCAAAAATCTGGGTTCTGGGATTTCATGTTATATTCCTTAATAATCTAAATTAAAATGCACATGACTTTTAAGTTTTATCGAGAATGGAGTAAAGGAAATAGAAAGCAAGACAATTATAAATACTGTACAGTAGTTGAAGTTGTAGTTGAAATATATTTATTTCTAAAGAAAGAACAACATAGATTTTCAGTTTATATTCTTTGGATCATAGCAATTGCTTGCTAAAATCATTCCTGCAAGCACTTCAAGGGATTAGTAAACTAATCTAATTAGTAAATTAATCAGTTAATATTATGATTGATACTTTATATGGAACATTATAACATTAAGCTCATGTCGGCAACTCAAAGAGAAGATGAATCTGAAAAATAGTTGATGACTTTAATTCTTGGAATACTTACTTTTTGAATCTTTGATTTTTATAAAGACAATTATGAATAACTAATATTGTGAATCAAATCTAAAAGATAAAACTTTTTTAAGGCCATTTTTAATCAGATGTAAATCTTTCCTTTTTTTCTTAGTCTCTTGAATGCCCACTACATTTATTTTTCTTCAATTAATTTTATAAATTAATTTAATTGTTCACCATTTACTTCTGGTGTAATTCAAGTTGTAATAAGAGGTGGTATTCAGCAGGTTCTGACCAGTTCTGGAGAACTGGTAGCAGAAATTTTGAGTAGTTCAGAGAACCGGCAAATACCACCTCTGACTGGAGATTTTACAGTATCCTTCCCCTGCCATACCCACCAAGCCACACCCACAGAAACCAGTAGTAAAAAAATTTGAATCCCACCACTGTTTGTAATCTTTTGTATGCCACAATTCATCAATGGACAGGCATCTAGATATTGACCTTTTTGCTTTTTGTAGCTTTTGCACAACAGTTTTAGAGAAGACTAAATTACTAATATGAGTTGAACCTATGTCAATATGCTTCATTTTTTTTCCTAAGAAGGACAATACTAGTCAATTTGTTCCAATTCAAGCCTATATGCCTCTAGGTACAATAAATACTGAATTTTACCCAAGCATGCTGACCCTTTTCTATTCAAGTTAGGACCTCGAATTAAGAGAATATTTTGCACATAGCAGCAGCAATAGCATTTAGACTTATATACCACTTCACAGTGTTTTACAGCACTCTCGGAATGGTTTAGAGAGTGACCATATTTTCCCCAACAATCTGGTCCTCATTTTACTGACCTCAGATGGATGGAAGACTGAGTCAACCTTGAGCCAGTCAGGATCAAAGGAATCAAACTCCTGGCAATGTTAACAGAGTAGCTTGCAATACTCCATTCTCACCACTGTGTCACCACGGCTCTTCATATGGTGTTGTCTATATCCCATTAACCAGAAGGCAATGAAATGACAAGTACTAAACTAATGTGTAAGCTATTAGCAGGAGTAAAACTTGTCATAGTTCAGAGGAAGATTATATCATACATTATTTTTCCCTTCTGCTTATTTTACTGAAAACTCCTTCAGTTAAAATGAGTATTATTGACTTCCAGTAAAGAAATGGCACAGTGAAAATGGCTCCACGAAAAGCAGAACCAACAACTAACTGCAGTGGAATAACGATCCAGCAAATAGACTGGCCCTTCTGGACAAGAACAAGATTGTATTTATTGTATTTTAAGAAAAGATAAAAAGTTACTAAAATTGTTTATACTTATGCAATGAAGATTGGAAGTCACTTCGATATATATTTCTTTCAATTTTCTTTACTGAATTCTTATTTTTTCTTTCTTTTCTATTTCTCATTCTATTTTTTCCCTTTTTTCTACATCTACCATTTCTATTTTTTTAGTTTTTTCAATTTGCATTAGTTTTTACTGTTCTAATTATAATTCTTAATAAAGTTACTATTAAAAAGACAAGCATTATTAAAACATATATAACTACATTAACATCTAATTATATGCTTATGAGGTTATTTTGAATTAGAGGTGCAGAATTAATTGCTAAACTAACTTCATAGCCTAAAACTAAGCAGCATATTGGCATAATGAAGCTAATTTTAGGAATTCTATGGAGCATTTAGAATAAATGAACTATGCTGAGAAGTTGCATGAGGAATAAAGTTCTTAGGGTTGAGAAAGTATCATTTAGAAAGTGGAAGACCTGGCATAATTAAAACAACAAGAAGAAGCATAAAATCTTCTAAAAGAACTGTAATAGTGAGGGAGGCAGAAAGGAAATCAGGGGATCATATTGTCAGAACTATGAAAATACATAACAAAAGATTCTTCAAACACATTAGAAAAAGGAAACTAGTCATGGAAGCCATTGGTCCCTTGGATGAAGATTCAATCTAGTCTCTAGATTTGTATGCAAGCTTATACTAATTCTGTGTGTCTTTACATGTTTATATGAAGAAAATTCTGTGGAGGTTTCGGGAGTCATTCCCAGACATATGAACTGAAATTTAGATACTAATTGGTATATTAACCGTAGGAAACAGCATGCTAATTACAGAAAGCTACATTTTTAAAAAATAATCTTCAACTTACTTTATGTTCTTGATTTAGATCTGGAACAGTCAAATATGTGAATGAAGCTTTTTTATTTTTCACTTTGTTACTTGTTGAGAAATAGCTTCCTTACCTTTTTCTTATTAGTAGGACTGACGTAAAGATAACTCAGCACAGTCTTTAGTCCCACCTTGTCATTTAGCTTTTCATATGTTGTACCATAATCTGTGGACCTGAAATGAAAATAATACATTTAGTGATTTCAGAAAAGAAATAAAGAGTAAAGGAAAGTGATGAATAGAAAATAGAAAAAGAAGTAGCCTCCAAACTCTTTAAGGAAACACAAATGATAAATTTATGTGTAACTCCTATAAAGAAGGACTACTCATTCTCATATTTTACTTTTTCTAATTATTAAACCCATAAAACACCAATTCCTTTATTCTAGTTTCAGTAAAAAGTCAAAATCAGTTTTATTTTGAATATTCCTTGAATCAGTCTTTTATTCCATGCAACTAAACAAATGACAAATGTCAGCAATTGTTTTAGTGTGTGTGGTATCTAGCTGAATTTACTTTCTGAAGTAGTAGGTTAAATTTAGATAATTCATGAGCACATTTATGCTTATTGGGCTCCCTTACAGGAAGAAAGGTTGATTTTTATTAATTCCCACTTCACTTTGCAGCTTTTACCAAAAATGATTTTAGAGATGGGAGGACAACAGAAACTACAATTTAAAAAGAGAAAAATGGACAAGATCTTTCCATTTCTTCAGTGATGACCACTACAGGTTCCTAATCCCTTCTATAAATGAGTGAATTCATACACACCAGAACAGGTCAGAATGCACCCTGTAACAAGAGAATACCTAATCAGATAACTAGAAAACAAAGTTAAAACAAGGTTGTTGTTGTTTTCTCTAAACTGAGGTTCTCCAAAGAATGAACTTTCCATACAAAGACTTAACTTGTAGGTGTTTTCCTGCCAGAGAAATGAAGAACAGGATATCTAAATCTGATTAGACCATATCAATGTCTGGAATACTCTACCCGACTCTGTAGTTTCTTCCCCAAACCCCAAAAACTTTAACCTTAGACTGTCTACTATTGACCTCACCCCTTTCCTAAGAGGTCTGTAGGGGGCGTGCATAAGCGCACCAACGTGCCTACCATCCCTGTCCTATTGTTTCTTTTATTTTTCTTTTATTTTTCTTATATGTACTCATTTCATGTATTCATAATTATGTATACACTTTTACTTATCTCGTAAACAATTGACAAATAAATAAAATAAAAATAAAATAAATAAAAATATTCAGGCTGTCGTGTATCCATTCCATATATGTTTATAGGATAGTGATAAATACATTAAAGTTATTTACTAGGCTTAAGATTCTGGGGTTTATATCAAATGGAGAAGTGTTCCCAGACACCTCTGGGAACCAATTATTGCTATCTTGACTTTGTATGTTGTATCAAATTCTGTGAAATTTCACTTATTTTATGGCTCCTGGTTTGTTTGTTTTAAAATAGTAAATGCCTATGAGTAGTGACATGAAAATTATTATACATATAAAGTTACAAGTTTGAAACTCAAAGGTTCCATGCCAGGGGGCTTTTTCTACCTGAGAAGAAAAGCAATATAGGTAGTCCTTATTTCATGATTGTTCACAGTTACAACACTTCAAAAAGTAACTTTGCAACAAATTCTTGCATTTATGACCTTCACAGGTCTGTAAAGTTGAAATAATATTGTACACTCAATTAAGTTTCACTCAGAAACTGTCTCACTTAATGACCAAGTTGTTGGTCCCAATTGTGTCACTAAATTTTTCCCCTTGAAAAATTTGAGGATGTAACAGGTGATCTAGAGAACTAAGTTGCTTGTTTGAGCAGCTGAAAATTCCTGGTCCTATCTCAAAGGACTTTCTCCTCTATGCCTTCTCTTTTTTCTTATTATTGATCTTGTTTGTAATTTCAAAGAAAAGATAGGTTTACTTTATCTTCTAAAAGAAAACTGGCAATCTTTATCTTTATCCACAGAATATGGAGACAGGATCTTCCTTGATGTTTTCTCATTCAAAATGGCAAAAGTCACAGGAAAAAAATTAGTCCCCCGGAATTTCAATTCCAAAATATCATATTGTAGATACAAGTAGCAAGGATGAAAAAAAGGCTGATTACCATATTACATGGTAGTTTATGACTGTGTTAGTTGAGCTTATATGGTTCATTTATTCTCTAATTAATATAAACATTCATGTACTATGTTTTTAATTTTTATAAAAGCATCAAGGAAAATAGAAAAACATCAGAAGCATATTTCTTCTTATACAAATCTACATTCATGTCATGCTACACATTTACAATCCAATATTTATTTCTATTTAAATGTAATACAAATAGAAAATTATACATATACATTGGTGTTTGAGATCTAATTTTCTAAATAGTTCTGCAAAAACGGTTCTTCTAGAAAATGCTTATTTTAGTATAGAAAAAGAGATAAGTCCTTTGTACCATTGAATGACTGGCAAAAATTAGATTTCTTTCCAACCTTGTAGTTTTTTTTTTATTTTAATTACAGAAGCAGAAAATATCAATTTTCATTGTCTTGCTCTAAGTTTCAAACTGTAGTCTATAATTGAAAAGAACACGAGCATCTACAATAACCACTGACCTTCCAGAGCACAATCAATATGCGAAATAATTTCTGTCTCAAAAGGAGCCACTAGAGCACAGGAAATAACACACAAGCAGTGATACATTTTTATCACCACAAGTACAATAACTGCCTGAACTCCTCAGTTCATACTGGAAGATATGCATTATTGTCCAGTAGGTAAGAAATATGAATTTGAAATAATTATATATATTTAAATTAGGGAAATTTCCTAATTTGTATCTAATTGATACTTCAGGTCCTTATTCCATGTGTCTCTATACTTTTGAACATTTAATATAATATATTCTAACATCCAATTATTAAGTATTCTATAGGAATGTTTTGTTGTATTAAAAACTGTTAAATCAATAAGTTTAGTCTATTGTTAAGGCACCAGGCTAGAAAGTGGAAGACGGTGAGCAATTCTTTCTTTCTTCTACTTGTATTGGTGACTTAAGGAGAGAGATACTTCTATGCTTATAGCACATCTGTACTGTCCAGTTTACACATGCACATCACAATCAGGGTTAAGCATGGTTATTCCACACAAGCAATCCTATAATCATTCCCCAGGTCACATAGTGCAGTCCTTAGAGTCAGTTATAAGTGACCATA